GAAATTTGAAGGCACTGTCAAATCAGATGCCAAAAGCTACATGCTGTAGGAAGATGGTGTGAGAAAAAGAGTTTAAATATAAACCTTAAGAAAACATATCTCATGCCTTTCACAGAAAGAAGGAAGCTCAATATAAAAGCTCCTGCTATAAAATGTGAAGCCTTAACTTTCTCCAAAGAAACAAAGTTCCTTGGTATAATCCTTGGCCAAACGCACAAATGGAGACGACACACGGCAACATTCTGCACAACGCTGGCCCTTGGCCAAAGATTATACAGAAAAACTGGAGAATAAACTCCAAAATGGCGTACTGGCTATACATCAAATCGGTCAGACCCTTGGTAAAACATGAAGTTTTAGCATGGTGGCCAAAAAAACTGAATAACGAGACCCAGACCAAACTACAAAATCTTCAAAGATTAATGTGGCTCAGTATTACAGGCGCAATGCATACCTGCCCCGATAGAGCAATGGAAACAACATTAGACCTATTGTCCTTACATGTATATGTATAAAAGTTGGCTTTTGAGTGTGTCAACAGACTCCTGAGATACAAGGAAATAAAACGAGATCTAAGGAACCACTACAAAATTGTAAGACTTACAATAAATCAGATGGCTATAACTGTATCTGACAAAACGAGAAAAGCATGACAGACCCATCCAAGTAGACTGGATAGATATACATAATAGAGACCTTTGTAAGAAAGGTGGCCCCAGTTTTCAAGAAGGGGCCCTAATATGGTATACAGATGGTTCGAAAAGGGAAAAGGTTAAGGGTTAAAAGGGCCGAACTACACCCTAGCGAAGCCCCTTGGACTAACACCGACGACTTTCCAAGCTAAAGTCCATGGAATACTTTGTGTAAAGATATACATATACTGTCAGACAGCCAGGAAGCCATAAAGATACTAAATGCGTATGATCCCAACTCCAAACTTGTCTGGTGGTATCTAAACTACCTAATGACTCTGGGAAAACAGAATAAGATTACTATAAAATTGGTTCCCGGATATGGGGCATAGAAGGAAATGAGCAGACGACCAAGTAGAAATAAATGGGCAGTCCTCTCACCCATAGGACCAGAAGCACCACTAAGTACTGAGGACTTTGAGCTTAAGTCGGAACTGGAAAAATAGATTGAGAAAGAAAAACTCAAAAACAGGACAGACGCACCAGGTATGAGGCAAAAAAGAGATTTATAAATTTCTTAAAGTATCAAAAATGATAGGTATCTATATAGGCCGTTGCCCTCTTAAGTATCATCATAAGAAGATGGGCAAAGCTGAGATGGAAACAGGCCGACTCTGTCAGGAGGAACCGTCACATATCCTTTGTGAATGTAAAGCATCAGTCCGGTTATGGTACAGACACTTCGGTAGGACTTTTCTCCCACCACAGGAAATCCAGGAGGCACAGAGGAAAGAGCGTAGTTTTACAAGAAAAAGCGCACTTTCGAAGGTTTGGACTATAAGCTATAAGGAGTTCCACAATAGATCTGCTTAGGTTGTAGTGGAGGAAAGGGTCGTCATAATCAATCAGTTATCTAGACCTCAATTAGGCGTAGCCTGGAGGTGCAAAGTCTGGATGAGACGCAAAAAATATTCTGCTTTATGCCAAAACCTGCTAAAAATATTAGAATGGGACCTTGAAGTTTCAAGGTACAGGTTTCCTCAAATTGAAACACAACCGACTGACCACCTGTCTTCATGTCGCTGAAATAAATGCCGAATATGGCTCGGTCACATAGTCGTAATTTGGCGGACCCAGAAGGGTAAGAACGGCTACATTTATACATGTGAAGTGCAGACAAAGTTCACAGTGCACTCAAAATGTTGACCTTTCAATTTCACCTAATAAGTTTTAATATTGAAGCGTTTTCAACAAAAGAGGCAAACTGGAATATCTTTGTTTAAAAAAAACATGGTTTAAAAGCCTCATTAATATTCAGATGGTAGTATTAGAATGCGAAATGGAATTACAGTCTCTCAAGCCATTAGAAAAATTGAAATAAAAGGTCATTATTTTAACTCATTCCATTAGAGGGAAAGTCAAACAATTCCTACTACAATAATTAATATGTGCGAACGGCTCTACGCTATTAAAAATACAAATAAATAATCCCCAATGTCCTCAGACCAGACATTGTTAAATTGAATATTCTGAAAATCAAACCGAGAAAAGATTTACAAAATGTAATCATATTTAATTTATATTATTTAACGTGTGTTTTTAAGAACGTATCTACTAAATATTTTTAAGGCATTTTTCTCTTAAAATTATTTATTTATTAGCTTGGCATGAAAAGGCTTCGGCTATTGAGATCAAAAGGCTAGGAATTACAAACTAATAAATAACTATTATCCACTCGGACAGCCAGGTGGCATCGAAGGCGATTGATTACCTCATCGGGAGCATATTCCAGAACCGCTTGGTATTTATTCAAATCCTGTCAGACATTGGGTAAAACAATAAAATTGTTCTTATTTGGCTACTAGGGCATACAGGGTAGAGAGTCAACAAGAAAAGTTCATTGACGGACAGCCCTATACCATCCATAGACCCATCAGACAATTGGTTAAGAATAAGCCCTCACTACAATGGGATTTTATTCCAGATTTCCAGGACTGAGGCCAGTGAAAAGGTTTATTAAACGACACTCACAGAAACCAACTGCGAAACTACTAAACCAAGGATGTGTTAGGGCTAGAATGATAGTAGGTCTGTGACTGGACACTGCTTATTCCGTGGTCCGTATATGGATCTTCAGAAACAAACCTGTGCAGATATTATTGCCAGGAAGAACAATAATCAACAGAACATGTCCTCTGTTGGTGCGAAGGCCTGTGCAGGCTGAGATTCCTACTCCTGCGAGAGAAAAAGCCTCAAGGCCTGAAGGATGGGTTCTGACAGTAGTCCTGTACAAAGCTTTGGCATCTAGTAAAAAGCCTTAAGCTTAACGGAAAGCTGTATATAAGTATGTATTAGGATCTTGCACAATTGACGAATATTGGTCGCGTTGCGTAAGGACATAAATAGGACCTTTTTAACCTTAATGCCATTCTTCATTCCCGCAAACCTTTCTGACAACTAGTTTGATTTCAGACGCTTTTCCCTATCCAGTAGTGCCCGCGTCTTCTCTAAAACTTAAGAGAGTCCTCCCTTTTATCAACTACCTGTTCCTAAAATCAAAATTGATCAACATCAAGCCATCAGTGGCTCCTTTGTGTCAGCTGACTATCACAGATGCAATAGTACCACAAGGTAGTATCTTAGGACCATACACTACATAATATACTACGCAGATCTAACCTTTTTGAAACTATCAATAATTCACTTCTATAACTGAATGGGCCAATCAACAAAAAAAAGTGAACCGTGTGAGTCAGGACATCACGAGGATTTATATTTTTGGTCCAAACAGTAAATCTGCAGTTTTGTCATTTCAGCTTTTCACCACCATTAGTGATTAATGAAAATTAAAATTAAAATAGTATAACTAATTTAAAAATGCTATGATATTTCTTCATGTGCTTTATCATCGTTGGTTTGGTTTGTTAGATGTGTTTAGAGCTTTGCCATGTTTCCTTGCCCTCGCCCTGCTTATACCCCTTATCAACCATGTACATAGGGAAATGAAGAAACACGTCTGACAACCAACGAGGGTAGGCAGACCAAAATGATCACAGATGGACTCGTTGCAAGTTCATTACTCTGCATATTGCAAAAAAAAATCACAAAACCTAATTTACTCTTTGTTTACCCACCATTGATAAATTATTGAATTATTCTAACACTATAACAAGCGAAAATGGATTAAATTATCTTCCAATAGCTTTGAATATAGAAGCAAAATGTAACGATGAACTAGATTATCGACCTGCTGGAAACATGAAGTCTTTTCGGAGGATCTACGGAAGAGGTCAAACACAGAGACAACTTTCGACAGTTTTATACTGTCATCTTCAGGGCCTGTTTTATTATCACATAAAAAAAAGAAACGCACTGTGATCGCATGTACCTGAAAAACAAAGAAAGGAAGATTTTACTGGTTTTTAGACTTATATGAGGTAACCTTTCTCGACCACGTTTTTAATTCTTATTGTAATTTTAGTTGTAATTTTTAATTATTAATTTATTCTATTTAAATAATGTTTAGATGCTGAGCCCCAAAAAACATAATGAACTTCTGAGCCCAAAACACCATGTCGTTTAATTCCCCATTAAGGTTTAAGTAAGATATTCAATTTTTGTGCAATTTGTTTTTTTTCATGTTTTAATTGTTTTTTTATGTGATAATAAAACAGGACCTGTAGAAGCAAAAGTTAATCTTGAGTCTAAAAATGGGAAGAAAATTGAGGTAAACATAAAAAATATTAAATTCACTAGTTTTCGTGGTCCGCTTGACCGATTAATATCTTTAAAAAAAATTCTTCCTGTTCTACACCTGTAATTAGATACCCAACATTGGATAACAAAATTAAGACTTTTTAACAGAAATTGAAACAGGTTTGGAAACTTTATAATTGGCCATTTTCACTTGGGATATCTAAAAGTGATACGCAGCGGACGGAAATTAGAGGAGTGAACACCCCCACACATCGAGGCGTATTTTATGCTGTCCGGGTTGGTGTTTAACCCAGCGAAAGTGATCACTTTCACCATTTTCGACTGCCGCGTCAATTCTGACAAACTGGGGTACCGTCCCGAATCGTCCCTGGCACGCATAGCGGGACGTCATTTCCGCGACTTTTCTCCTTTTTATCGAATGCATTTGTATAATGACACGTCAAAAAAAATCGTTTCTAGCAGTTCGGGAATTCGGAAATGGGAAAACTATTAATATTGAATAATTACAGCCGGACTGTTATAAAAAGATTTCCATTAGTCGAAAGGTAACATTCCGTACATTAACAAGGCCGATTTTTTGTATACTTAAATGAAAACTTTTAATTTCATTATTACAATTATAAATTGACCAAAATATTGTGATTGTTTCAGTCCCAAATTCTTGAAAGAGTCAAACCGGACAGGGTGACAGTTACCAAACCTGAAGAAGATAGAAGAAGAAGAACTATAATTGTGGAGAAAAACAATAATTCTTACGGGTTTACACTACAGGTAATTTATTTGATATTATATTAATTTTAATTAAAATCGCAATCAGTGTTGCAGAGGAAACAGAGACACAGATAGTAGATAGATAAATTGATAGATAGATTAGATAGATTGATTGATAGANGGGTGGGGGGGAGGGAGGGAAAGACAAAAACGTCGTTCTCAAATGATTTCTAAAGTAATTATCTGGAGATATAAAAAGAATGTTAGTACGTGCAAATAAACAACAAATATTTGTTTAAATTCAAGGACCATTTTTGTGATAATCACGGTCACACAGTTAAATGAAATCACGTTTCTATTATTGAAAGATTAATATTGTTTATTAATTGATTTATTTTATTTTTATGAGGGTTAGCAACAACAGAAGCCATATAACTCTCGGGGTGTCGGTGTTTTTGAAAGGAAAAAAAGAAGCCCATTTGTAAATAAGTCGGGTTCAAATGCAGGGCTGCTGGATTCGAACCCGAGACCGTTAATTGATTGCATATATATATATATATATATATATATATATATATATATGTCGATATGCCCCACGCCTCATTTTATTAATTTATATTATTAATATTGTTGTAATCTCTATAAATCTCCACTTGAGTTGGCCGAAATATGCTTGAGAAACCAAAACAGCCAGAATGAGCAGACCCACCTCAAGGATAATTCACAATTAAAAACATACCAACATGTGAAATTTATGTGTCGCCTAGGTTAGAAAAAGGGATTGTTTAATGCTTCGAACTTCAATAACCGGGTTTGCAAGAAACGTCATCCTGCTTTGCATAAGATATGCATTTGTTGTGCGCTTAGTCCGTAGCATACATTTTTCATGACTTCTGTTTCCCTTCCGGCTCTTTATGACATGTGACCTATGGAGTCGTACTCCCTGAATGGTCAACAGAATCCATGTCAACAGATCAAAATGATGACTTACAGTGTTTGAAGGAGGCGTGTTGAGCGTCTTGATTTATTTATCGTCCATGAGATTTAATAAACAAGTTTCAATCGTTCGTCAGTGACAATTTAAAATAAATAATTATTCTTCCATCTTGGCCATGGAAAGCTGTTGGCAGATGCAAGATGGGTAATTTTGGGGGGGAAATACAAATGCATAAATTTCGCCTATTTCGTCAAAACTGATATTGGCTCGGTTTATAAACATATTTTTTTATAATTTCAATCTTGTCTATTATTTTTTAACACTATATTATAGAAATATAATTTAAATAAAACTGCACTCCCAAGAGCAATTAGCATAGACAATTATTCGGCAATGTTACGTTTGTCATATAAATTCCATAGACAGTTTTCAGACAGACAGTTCCTGTAATCTGCTCATCGTGAATCCCAGATCTTAATCAAATTCCAAAGAAAGATAAAAATGAACTCATCAAGGCATTCCTTGTCGTTTTGCTTTTTGCCAACTGGTCTTACCAGAGTGTGCTTACAAGACATCGACCTAAGCTTGTTTGTTCATTTGCTATCTTTTCATTTGATAAAATAATACAAATTGAGCATTATTAAGAAAACAAATGTTATCTTTTGTAACATAGTATGTTTAAGCGAATATTTTATTAACAGACAAATTTATATTTTCAGAGTTATGGGATCCATTATAAAAAAGAGCAGGAAATTGAAATGATTACATATGTGGACTATGTTGAGTACGACGGTCCTGCATATCGTGCAGGAATGAGGGAAGGTAAATTAAAATTTCTTTAAGGCAGTATTTAAACAAAAAACTTTTTTTGGCCTAACCATCCTTAACCATTTTCCAGGCGATGTCATTTTGTCAATAAACGGGCACGACATGGAAAAAACTGACCATAAAACATTAGTGAATTTTATCAAAAACTGTGATTCGAGAATGAGAATGGTCGTCTTGTTTGAAGATTGTGTTAGAAAGGTATTTTCCTTTTAAAATTATAATTAAAAATTATCAATATATTGTGTATAATAATGACAGGTTGAGTTGCACATGAGGTACATCCAGCTTCAGAGACTCCTTCAGACGAAGATGTCAGAATTGGAAAGGATCTGCGTCAGAGAGAAAGAACTCATGGAGGGAAAATGGAAAACGCACAGTCTCCCGGCTAGGAAAAAAGGTTCAAAAGTATCCGAGTCATCCCCACAAAAGGAAATAGGTGATTTTTAATTTTTATATATTGAGACATAAACATTTCAATTTAAAAAATAAATAATCATACAGCCTGATAAAATGCTAATTATTTTTAAAGGAGAAATTGCCGGCTACTGCAGACCAACTGTTTCAACAGAGGATGTGGCTAGGGCGACGCCGCCTCCTGGTTACGGTCCACCGATAATTTTAGCATATCGACCCTATCAATATGTTGATCAACATGGAAGAGCTTATATTATACAAGGTCCTCATAATTCTAGTGAATATATCGCTGGGTGGCCAGGGTAAGACACTATTAAAAAAAAAGTTTTTGTTGCTTAGGTCACTTAAGCATGGTAAATTACATACATACTTTCCCAAGTGAGTGCTCATTGCTACTCAGCTTCTTAAATAAAATTTTCTCAACAAGTTTCTCATCATATCGACGGACAATTTAATATTAAAAATAATATTATGTGCATATAATTATTACATGAAGTACAGTAAAACAGATTAGGTCTGAGCCCTGTTTATATTAGCTGAATAAAACAGAAGCAAGCGGTAAAACGGGTCTGATGGACAATTGGATATATGTGCTATTCACATGCGTACGTTGAAAAATAGGTTGGAACTTTTGAAGAAGCAAAGAAAAGATAATAGTGTAGCTAAGTCGTGGATCATTTTGAACTGCTGATTTTTTGGCTTGTTGGGTGCATTGCGGTTTCTTGCTATAATTGGTTTTTAATAATGTTGGTTAAAACCCTCCACTGAACAAGTTGAAACGCATCTGACAGCCAAAATGATCTGAAACGACCAAACTACAGGTTCATCACCACAGAGGCCTCACAATTTTTGGATGAAATTACAGTGTAAAATAGAAAATAGAAATGTGTAGTGTTTTGGGCATTCTCAACACGATAGACAGGAATGACACATCTACACGAAAAACAAATACTTTGAGCCTTAAAGATGATCTCAATAAAGATCGAAATGTTGGCATGATAAAGAAAATGTTTTTCTAAAACCTACGTCGCACCAGACCGCATCTCACGACCTCCAAATAATTAATAGAAAATAGAATTTGGAGTGGGCAAAGCAAAAACCTGACCATTAATACTTTTAAAAAATCTTTTGACTCCATGACATGTTGAGAAGTTCTCTGAGATTTTTCCCCCAGTAGATTATAGTAAATATTAATTTTTGTCTAATAAATAATCTTACTAGTGTTTACATTATCCTATTTGTCAAGTATTTATTATATTAATCAAACTTTTTACTTAAAGCTTATCAATTAAACAGCTTATATTATGAATTGATTTGGGTGATATCAGCATTATTACTATAATAGTACATAGCATTTTTTCAATCAAATTAACCCTTTTTGTAAAGCATTAAAAAAATATATGGATATGGTATGAAATATAAGCATATAAAGTAAAATTCCTTTATATTTGAGGGATATTGAGCTGTCATAATTTGAGATTTTTTTAAATATAAAATAGTTGATCTAGAAAATAATTATTTTATATTTAAAAGATATCAAATTTATAGAAGAATAATTTATTTGTAAATCAAGAAGTTTGGTTATTTATTTGAACTAAACACATAATTTTTTTTCTCAAATAAATAATCAATATTCTTAATTTAAAATATTGTTACCACCAAATCAAGTAAATATTAATAAAAAAATAAAATTGGAATTTATTTTTATATTTAATTTTATATATCTTAATTTTAATTGTAATTAATTTGCTTACTGTCCAAGAATTTTATATTAAAAATTATCACAATTATTTTAACGTTAAACTTTAGAAACGTTAAAATTCTCCCTTAAGAGCAATCAAATTAATTATGTAAAAGATCATTCTTGCAATTAAAATGGTAAGTTGGAAAGAAAGAAAAACAAATTCATTCATCAAGCTTGTAAGGAATCACCTTCATTAGGGCTTTGAATCTATTTCTAATTATTAAAATCGGTAACAGATATGTATAAGCATCTAATTAAAATAGTAAAAATAATGGCTTTATCAATAACACATTTATGGAGTTTAGCTTAGTAAATTGAATGAGATCTAACACTAGCTCATTTGGTTGAGAATGAAGCCATAATTTTTAATATTTTAAGGTCCTGTGATGAAGTGGATATATTCCTTGGAAGCTTGAAAAGGAACTAAGATTTTTCTTTATTTCAAATTTACCTTATTACTGATTTATTTTATTTTTATTTTTTTAATATAAACAAATTTACTATCTTTTTTAAAGTACAAAATAGGTTTAGCATTACAGTACACTTTCTGAGTGTTGTTTTTCTCCTATTAAGTACATTTAAATTTTAGTGGGTATTCAAGATCTGATGGTGGCAAAGGTATAGTGAGGAGATGTTCTGCTACCGGGGTGCTCCATGAAAGTCGTGGATATCACCAAACCAATGGAATGGCTGCTGCAGCCAATGTAAATTCGACCCCGACCAATGGAAGCAAACAGTCAGGAAAAGGTTTGTTACAAAACTATAAAATTAAATTAAATTAAAAAACAACAAGATAAGCATGGTTAAATTTTACAGTTTTTGAAATCTGTGAAGAAAAAACGAAATACCGTATCTTAAATTGTTGAACAACACATGTACGTTTCATAAAAATGTTTATGGCTTGATTCTATTATTCTCAAATATATTTGATTTTTTCATATTAAGATTTTTTTCTGGAAAAACAGAATAGATTAAATATTGTTTTTTACATTTTAATCTTATTTAATTTGAATGAATTATTTCGTTACTCCTAATTCAGACAGTCACAGCTTTATAGTAGAAAATTTCAGCTTCAAAACCCAGAAAGCCAATTACAAAAATTTAATGATATAATAAAACATTCAAATTCAACTATAAAATATTTTTATCTATATGTCCTATTTCAATTATATTCATAAAATTATCATATTAATTAAGGAATCTAAGTTATTTTTATGTTAATAGTAATTTCTGGCTATAATTAAAAAAGGGATGTATTTTTGCTAATGCATGATTAGTAGGAAAGCGAAAGTAGAGTACTAAAAGTTCTAAGCAAATATAACTTATAAGAAGGCATATTTCATTCCATTTAAGACAGTAGATTAGTATGTAACATTTGATGTATGACATTTAAAGGGTAACAGAAACAAAATTTATATTATTTAACAAAAAGCCATGATTCGAACTTTTAAAAGGAACCGAACAAAGCGAAGAAAATATATTCAAAATAAACGGATAAAACGGAAACATCGAGAAAAATTGAAACTCGCAATTTGACATTTGATTCTTTTTGATTGGTTTGCGTAGTAAAAAGCAGCAGTTCGCGCCATCATTGCAACCCGTGCATACAAAGTGCGACCAGCCCACAGGATAATACAAGTCTTGAAGCATACGACTTGGCAAGTCCTTGCTGTAACTCACATTGTGTCCCTTCGAGGAGGAGGCGACACCACCACAAGCCAAAGAAGTCCACTAGTGTCGAAAGTGCTAGGGGTATGGAACAAAAACGTAAAGGAACTGATGTTTACAGCATGGCTTAGGCTTTAACATAACAATTTGTTTCTGTTATATTTATTTTTTAATAGAAAAAACACAAACGCTTCTAATATCATTGTACAAAAAAAGTGATGTATTGGAAACGTATGACCCTGTTTTAGCATGACCCTATTGTTTGATTTTGGCCTTATTTTGTTTGTCTTCAAAGTATTTTTTAATACACCATATTAGAACTAGGTAGTAAATGTAGATTTTAAAAATATCATCTTTTATTATTGTATTATTATTTATTACGAAGATGATTTTAGATTTTTGTAGAGAGAAACGTGTATTTGTTTAATGATATACTCATTTATTTTATCTTGTTAAGTAGTTACTAGGTTTATAATTTAAGTAATAAGTTTTTTTAATAAGTTTATGTTGTTCTTAAAATAGTACGTTTTACAGGATCTGATTGGAAGGAAAAAAGCTGTAGTAGATCAACTCAACCATCTGGGTACGTTTCATCTGGCGGATCCCACAATCCTAGCCACCGACATCACCACCATCATCATCAGACAGGAAGAAGGTGATATTAAAATTTAAAAAATATTTTATTGTTGGTTGTTTTAAAAACTTTGTTGACATAATTAATTTATTTCAGATATTTCAATCTTGTGAGTCAATGCAGTCTCCATTCATGTACATCAAGCGAAGTTAATAGTGGACATGAGAAGGGCCATGGAAATGACAGTAGCACCGCTTCGTATACAACATCACTCAGTACAGACACTCTTTACTGGGAACCTACTAATAATGAAATCACCCGGCAGCACTCGGTAAAATCCAACTCTTCATCACACGAACCTTCTAAGCCCAAGTCTTGGGACAATTTGACAACAAAAGCATTTGGCGGCTACGGTTTCGGCTACAGTTACATGGATAGAAATCAGAAGCCTCAAAGCACAAAAGCCAATGCTCAAAAGCCGCCGAAGTACGTTCAGCCGACGAAATCATCTGAATCCCTTTTACTGTTACCCGAATATCCAACACTGTCTGACTCGAGCCTCAGCTGCGAGTGTTTAGATGCAACATCTCCAACGCCGAATGCAAACGATAAAAACAGGTTTTACACTTTGCCGCAGGGTGAACAGTATTACCATAGAGACAAGGCTAGTCAGACGGAGCGGAGGATCGTAAATGTCCAACAACAACCTGAAGTAACGAGACTGTGATACCACCAAATTGAATTAGTCAATTCCACTACTGTCTAGTCGTAACTGTGCTTAAACGGAATGCCAAAGGAGATCTTAACATTTTCAATATTTCATGTAATCCATTCCAATTAATTAAATTTAAAGGATTGTTGTACATTTAAGTTAAAACAAAAAATGGTTCAAATAGTTAATTTAATAGGGTCATTTTTATTTGTATTTTGTGTGTAATAGTAAAACAATAAATTTCATTTTGTATAGGTGATTGTTTTATTTCCTCATTAGATTATATAAACATGTCTACGTAATTTGTTATATACCTAGATAATTATACAAACATGAAATTTCTTGAGAGGAAATTTAAAGCACAGAACCAAAATAATAATCACTTTATTTTCTCTCAGTAATTTGATATAACAATTAAACAATTAATATGTAGGGGTATTGCTTATAACTATAGTCATCATAATAGAAGCAAGTAGAATATTTCTAACTAAAAAATTAAATGAATTTATTAAACAAAAAACATAGTGGAAGCCAAAGATTGTGTTAAGTACATCAGTTAATTTTCTAATCAAAGTTAGTGGTTTATATTTAAATAGTATATACAAGTTGTTTTTTTGTTTTTTTTAAATTCCTTGGACTAATAATAAATGTATGGCTGTTTAATGCAAAAAAAATATTTACTTTCACTGCCAACAAAATTTCTTCTAGATGTAAAAAATTGGAATAAAAGATATCAAATGTAATAACGTTTTAATTAAATGACTTTTGCAGGAAAATACAAGTGTTTTGATTTTTTTTCTTTAAGCGTTTTATAATTATTAACCTTATTTCACAATAATTTATCTAGATCTCTAACTCACAATACAGACTGACATAATACTGACATCCTTATAATAAGGATGAGACCAAGGTCTGATCCTGGATTGCTGTGTGAAAAGCTCAATTATTTTGCGCACATGTGGGGAGAGTTGAACTTGAACGAATTGATTCAATAATCAATCAATGAAAATAATAATTATAATATGATAACACAATATTATATTAAGGAAAATTACTCCCCACAATCCTAATACAAACACTGACAAAACAAAGAGCTAAACTTGGCTCCATTTTTTCTTTCATCAGAAAGCTTAGAAAATGTAGAGACATTTACAGTAAGAATGGACAGCCTAGGATGATCAGAGGACAATCCTGAAATTGTCTTGTTATAAAACAAAAAAGTAAAAAAACAATAATAAAAAACATGACATTTTTATTGGAAAAATAAAATACCAATGGATGAGACAGAGCTGGCAACATAAATCTTATGCTAAACGAAGTTTGAATGAACTCTAGTGAAAGGCAGGTGGACTGTGACTTTCGTATTAAAGGGTGTGTGGTATGATGCAAGTAAGTAGGCAATTGACACTTGAATTGAAACTGGTTAGTTATGGAAGGTGCAACCTGAAAGACTGATTCAGCTTTAGTTTCTTCTTGGCTAAAACTCAGGATGTAGTGACTGCAATTTTTTGTGGCCCTGAGAAGTTAAGGGTAGTACTAATGGTGGAAGTAGGGGGGCCACGGCAGCCGAGTGGTTAAGGCGACAGACTCTCGTCTAGGAGAACCCGCGGTCGTGGGTTTGATCCCTACCAATCGCCTCTGGACTTTTTCTGATGCCTAAGGGGACCGGTGGCCACAATTGAAAGAAATTGACACGGCACTCATCAATGGAAGGAGCGGGATCAGATCTCAGCGACCCTGAATTTGGTCCCAACCCCCTTCAAAAATGAGTTTCTTCGATGGAAGAACACCGGCACAACGGGGGCTCAAGTTCACATTTGTGTTGCGAGCCCTCCCCTAAATATGGAACCAGGGATAAAGTACAATAAGCTGAACAGTTCAGCTGCAGTGCTCAGGAGGGAACTTCCAGTCCCTGGTATCCATTTAAAAAGAAAAAAAAAAAAAAGCTGATTGTAGAATAGGTTGCAAGAGAAGGGACTCTTGCAGCAGACAGCCACATCGACTGTTGAGAGTGCGAGAGATAATGCTACAAGTACCTTTGCTGCTGTAGCTAGTGCTGACAGCTTGCTCCATTAGTGAGAGTTGAATATATAACAAAAATTCTGAAATAAGCGAATAAGGATGGCAAAGGCAATTGTTGAAGCAGTGGTGAACCAGATTTGATGTGGAAAACATTATTCAGAATAGCTTGTGAGATTACTTACTACGGAAGCATAAACATCTTGGTCGAGGTACGTATGATTGAATTAGTTGGTCCACTTCCACCATCTGACATATTCTTTTATTTGCTGTCAACAGACTGTTTTCTCTAATTGAACAGAAGGAATACCACTTAAGAGTATATCAGAGGAGGCAGTTTGCACGCTTCCTCTTGTTTTTGAGGATCTTGAAGTTTGAAATTCCCTCCATGATTACACTATTGTAGATTGGGAATACTTCATTGTCCTGCCAACTGTGCTCAGTAGTGGTCTCTTTTTACTTTCCTGTGCCGAATGATTTCATCTCTCACAATCTGGCACACAATCTTAGCAACATTCATGGGGGGTTGGTCAGCATTCTGCTAGTGTTTATATGCTCTATGTCCAACTCCTCAGGGGCAAGCTTTAGGCCAAAGCTTCATGCTTGTGACTAGCCTGGAGGGTATTTCACCAGGTCGCTTGGGTGTATCCCTCTTATTTCAATTGACCTACTCCATAGGTCTTGCTGATTAAGACTAAATGATTTGAGAGAATCTTTTTGATAATAAAATGTGTTATCACAGAATGTGATCTTACGCATATCACAGTTCACAGAATCACATACTAAGAAATATTACCAAAACAACATGATACTGTTGTTTAAATAACAACAGGATAAAACTAGCAAGATTATGTACAATCTGTATTGTGGTAAGATAATAAAAACAATCAATTTCATATGTAAAACATCTAGAAATATATAAATCAAATATAATTTGGATTATTAAAATCAGTGTTCTTTGGTTTGAAAATGGTACATTTATATCTTATTGAAAATATAATTTAAAAATTACTATCTTTTCTGTATACTGATTAAAATTGCATACCAGAATCCTTTGCGTGAAGAGGTGTCTTGAGACAGAGAGGGCCATGATTGTGCCAACAATGTCTTACTAAATAATCGTTTTTGTAGAATTTAGCATGACACACCCCACATTTGTAACGTGCTTGGAAAACAAATCCTTTGTGCTTTTTCTTGAGATGGTCGAGAAGTTTGGCATTGACGTGAAAAGATTCTGAGCAAAGTCCACACTTAAACCGACAAAGCTGTGTGGCCAAATCTGACACTGATTCTGGGTCTTCCAGGTTTTCTTTGTTTTTTTCTGCTTTGACAGACCTCTTGAGCTTTTTAGATTTAGAAGAAAATGCCCATTTTGATTTTTTATTCTGGTCATCCCTTTTTTTCTTTTTGCCAGGGATAATTTCATTCGTCTCTGGAGAATCCGGTAAATTAAATCTCAATTTTCTTCTCAAATTTTTTGGGGGGACATTTAAATTGGCATAGACCTGAGTCTCATTTTGATCAGCAACACATTCAGATTGATCTAAAGGGTATGCTGTTTTAGCCTTTAAAATTGGCCTCACCCCATTAAACTTCTTTCCTTCTTCATCATCATTCGTACTAAGTTTTAACAAATCCACGCTGAGACCTGGTGATTCATATCGCATCGCACTGCTTGGTTTTTTTTGTTCAAACAAATCCTCCATACTCTTTGTTATATTTGAATATTTTGTAATGACATATTTTTCAAAAAGAGGATAATGCTTTTTTTCTATGTGAATTATCAGCAACTTAAAATGTTTCCTCATAATTTTATGAGGGCAGAACCTGCAGTAAACATATTTTTCAGGACTAAACCCACTAAACATATTTACAACACACATTTCATGATTTCTTATAATATGCTTGGGCAGAAGGTGACGGTGATAAAATTTAGACTGACAGAAAGGGCACTGGTGAAAATCTATTACCCCCGGTGCAGACTGTAAAACTAATTTCAATTCCTTTTCATGCGTCTGTTTGATGTGGTCTTTGAGTAATACTTCAAAGCCAAAGTCAAAAATACAAAATGGACAACATATTCGGACGGGCAAGTTCGATTCGCATAAAAATTTATTCACTAACAAACTTGTGTCTAGAGATGCGTTCAAAAGCTCCTGCGTTTGAAAGTCAATAACAGGTGCTGGAGGAAATTCTTGATCAGTTTTAACCATTAAGTTTCCGAGGTTGTTAATACTACTCGACTCTGGTTCCAAATCTTTTGGGGCAACAGTCTCAGCACTGCTATCAGCAAAATAATCTGCTGAAGTATTTGGGCTGTCCATTGTGTCCTGAACAAATTAAAAATAATGATTAATACACATATCTATACTATTAAACAACGAAAATAGTAGCAGAACAAAAACTTGCATATAAAATTATCTGAAACAATAAAAATAACTACTATGCTACCCTAGCCTATTTTTTTATTATATGTCTGCAGTAAAGTTGGAACTCTGGAAGAGAAAGGAAAGAATGAAAGCAAATATCAACACATCCCGAAAAGGTCACAGCATGAAAGTAAAGTTTAAATGAAGATTTTAAGGATTTGTGAGAGGGAGGGAATTAAACTCCTTGTAAGTCTTGTCCTAAATTTTATAATTTACATCTGATGAATTGAATGATATAATTAAATTTAATGAAAATAAAATAAATAATATAAACCAACTAACATGAGAATGTACTCTATTTTGTTATTCACTCAAACCTTTATTTCTTCTTTCTTGGAGTTCTGTAAATCAACTGTAATGTTTGCAAGTGAAGTTTTTGAATTAATATTATGATTTTAAGACTTATAGAGTTTATTTTTTATAGTTTTTTAAAAGTTTATTTTTATAGTTTTTTAAAAGTTTATTTATAATTAATTTTCGAAAATATAGCTCTATATATCTACATTGTTGTTTAACCTATTTATTTGCAAGACAGTGTGTTGTTAATAAATATAGATGATTATATGTAATTTTAATTTCTAAGGTTTTCTTCTATTGCACAGAAACTTTTTTTACTGAGTGTACATGTCTCTAGGAGAAATAAATTAATGTACTGTTCAACTTGCTTAGCAAGAAATAGAGAAGTTTTCACCCTTTGACAACTCACTACAACAAATAAACTAGAGAGTTGAATGAACATGTACATACCAACTTTGTTTAAGCTGAAGCATTTTTGACAATTGTTTGGGTGAAAGGTTGCTGTGTATTAAGTGAATTTAAAAATAAACAGAACAACCCCGAACCAATTCAATTATTAATTTCAATTAATGATTCTTTTTATGTAAGGTCTTGGTTGAGATAAAAAAGTCAGCGGGATTCGAATTTATCTCAACCAACACCTTACATAAAAAGAATAATTAATTGAAAGAAGTAACTTGGTCAATTGACCACTAAAACATAAATAGATTAATTATTAATAATTTTTCGATGTTCATTACTGTGGACTGAATATGAAAATTTCAAAATAAAAAATAGTCACTTATACAAAAGATGCACACCTACTCAGACTACGATATTGAAAGGTAAATAGAAATATATTTACAAAAAAATTAAAACATTTTCACAATAAGAGTAAATAAGAGGTTGAGATTAAAGTAATCCAATAAATTAATACCCCAAATGAACTTGGTTGTTAAGATGAGCTCCCTTCTTCGTAAACTCAATACAAATTTTGTCATGGGCACCTGCTTTTGGGCCAAAGCCTGCGCAGGTGCCCCTTAAGCAGAGAAAAGTTGGTCAATGTGTCCCACATAATAAAAGCATGTCAAGCCTTGAATCTATACAGAGAGCAAATGGTCCAAAATCTTTGTGAACAGGACCAAGAGATTTATGCAGGACACGTGAGCCAACCAAGTCCCGGACCTTTTAGGGATGGGGTACGAGTCTACCCAGGCATTTAACCCCTCGGGTCTTCGTCGCCCACCCTGCATTATATATATAGCATGTAGGCATGCCACCGGATTTAAGAATGGTTCTTGGACATGGTAGCTTTTTAGAGAAATTGGGATTTTTTATTCCATATAGCCATCAAAATTTGTTTTGTGTTTCTGTGTATTTATTAGAATTAATGGGGAGGGTCTGATGATGAAATAGCATCCCCATTGCCCCTCAAGCTATGTACGTGACTTGGGTCAATGGGGGAACATTTATAAAAGTACCACCCCAATTAGATTAGTTTGTTATTGTATACAGGCAAATGAAGGAATATTGAATACTCCATCTAACTAATTAGAATGAATGCAATGTATCTAGGTGTGAATGTATATATTTGTGTGTATGTGTATTGAATATGTGTTGTTATGTTTCGCATGCGATCGAGGCTGAAATGCCCCTAAAAAAACTAAATAATGAATTCATATAAGGTTTCATTCTCACTGCCCTAAAATTCTCGATTTATCTTGTTGAAGATGTATGTCACTTCATGGCTGAATGTTCGATCTTAATCTTAATTGATCTTCTTACATTTTGCTGCTAGTGGATTAGAGAAGGAAACGTCCAGATGGTAAACGCTTCAGATACTCAGGTCCTGCATAATACCAGGAAGGCTTGGAGGTACGAGATTATTTTAGATAATAACATCACTTCAGCTTACATTTTCTACTTACTAGAATGTATGCAATGTATATAGGTGTGAATGTATTTACTTGCATGAATGGTATTTATTGTGTGTTGTTATATTGTTATGACCAAGTTGTCAGATTCCCCCTCCCCAAAAAAATTAATTTAAAAAAATGTAAACAAATTTTTTATGTGCAATTATTAAAACATATTCTAATTTTATTAGTAGAAGTGTGATTAAGTGAAGAAAAGTAGACAGTACTGCAATAAATAAAAAACAATGGTAAAATAAGAGTATTGTCTAGTTTAAATTTTAGTGCTGGAGAGATAAATTTATGATATTTCCAAAGTTAATTTAAAGTCCCATTCACCTTTCTAGCAACAAAGCCTAAATAATAATCCCAAGATAATCTGGTATTAAAAGTAATACCAAGGTTTTTACCTGGTAGAGAAGGGTATTAAAGAGCCACCAAGAATAAAACAACTGGAGGATATGCCGGTTTGACCAACAAATGAGTTGATTACTGAAACTGTTTGAACCAAACAGCATATAACAGATAAATCAAATGACAACTCAAGTTTTCAGGCTACTGACCACAAATTTAATAAATTTTGAATGAAATGCTCGTACGATAGCCATTAATTAATTCTGCACTGAAAGTGCTAAAAAGTTACGGAAGTCTAAAACTTTTTGCTTGTTGATGAATGACATAGCTACAAACCACAATGTACCATTTTGGACCCGTCAGTATGTAATATGTATTACGGTGTTGTTTTAATAGTCAAAACATTAAAATCCCTGGCAAAACTGTTTAGGCGTGAGTGGAAACAGATGTATACAACGTACCTGTACTAAACCGGTCGAGAGTGGTATGCACAATACAGTCCAGGCTATTAAAATGTTTAAATAATTTACTAAGTATAACTTCACAATTTTAAATAGCGGTTGGGCATTGGACTTGGAACAATACAAATTGTAACGGCCGGATGATATGTCCTTGATATTTGATAGCCGACGGGTTGACACCGTTTCGTTCTTTTGATGCGTAATTAATTAAATTATTTTAAATGTTTTTTTTTGTTGAGAAAATTGAGTTTTATATGTGGTAATTACTTTTAGTAATTATCACAGTATAAGGTGTTTTTGTGCGGTGGGAATTCATCAGGCCGTGGCTGTGTTGATTCGGTTCCGTCCCCTTTCCAATCTCGCTGCATCGGTGCCCGTGTTTACAATTTTCCGACCGACGAGGATTTTTCTAGACTGGGCAAGTGGCGAATTTGACGGAGGGACAGAATAAAAGGCCAGACTCCAATTTGAGATGTTATCCGCCCTCCCACGAGAATTGTGGACCCGGCTCGTGAGACGTGACACCGATTTGTGAAATGTCAAAACGCAATGTCTCTTACATCAAGCCGCAAGAGCCAGCCTTCCTCGCTAGATTAAAACAGCAGGTCGGCTACAAAGAAGGCCCCAACGTCGACACAAAGGTGACCTTTTTTCCTACTTCTTCCGCGTCTCGTTTTTGGTACTAAACCGGCCTATAAATACTTGAAAAGTTGAAACCTCCCGGGCGGGAATTTCGGATTCTGCCGCTATTCTTTTTCACGTTTTCCGACAAGTTTTCTTCCTTCTGGGGTAGTTCTCGGACTTCGTAGGTGTCTAAGTCCTTGCGGAGTACCCACCGTCTTTACTAGGCTTCACATTGATATCCAGTACGTTTTAATCCTTTCTCCGACTCAACTCCAGAGATCAGTTCCATCCATTTATTAACACAAAACGCTTAACGGATCAGAATGAGTACAAAAAGACAAACTTTTCTAATTTTTGAGTAACTTAAATTAATATAAATAAAACATATATCGTTTCAAGTTTTCTACAAAGTGTCCCGCAGCATCTGGCAAGATTTGTCCAAATAGTTCAATGAACATTCAGCCTAATCTTTCCGCCATGTTTAATTTAAGACCAAAAGTTAAAAAAAATCGTTTGTTTAAACAAAATAAATCATTGTCAAGCTAATTATGCTTTTTGAATAATATTTCTATATTATTTTCCCCAGCTAAACCCTTGCTTTGGCAATATTCATGCATTGGTCAATTAACTGGATTTCTATTTTGGATTAATTAAACCCAACTTAATGTTGGATACAAAAATCCTAAACATTCAAGTTTTTAAAAACTTTCTTATAAATCCATTTATGTTTAGTGGTCATAATTGACCATATTAATTATTTCAATTAATTATTATTTTTATGTAACGTCTTAGTTGAGATGAAAAAACTAGTGTTGCAAGCGGGATTCTAAGTTCGTGGGTTTGAACGTGGGGGTGGGACATTTTTCATCTCAACCAGGACCTTGCATTAAAAGAATGATTAATTGAAATTTCCTATAAATTTTAACCAATGATTATTTGGAGATCATTAGATGCGGTCTGGTGTGGTGTAGGTTTAGAAAAGCATTTTATAAACCTACGTCACATCTCATCTCAGGATTTCTAAATAATCATTAATTCACAATCACTGAATACCACACATTTAAACAGTGAAAGATTTTGAAACCTGTAATTTATAAGGTGCATGTCTATAAGGTCTTTGCTTTGCTTATTTTATTTTGGTTTGGTGGTAGTTAAGAGGGCAGTGGTAAGTAAGGAGGCCTATAAATTTCAACAAATCTTGCCTATTAGGAGGAGTTGCTTTGCCTTCCTTTTTGGGAAATTTATACATCTCTTAGCTGTCTGGTGATTCTAGGTCATGATGCGTAGGAAATCGATTGTCTTTTGCACAATATTCATTTATATGACAGACGCATTTCAGTCTATTTCCTACCCTTTATTTTATTATGGAGTTCCAGGGCGTAGGTTTTTGTCGCTTTTCCAGCTCCAACTTTAGCAAACTATCTGGTGTGTTAGTTGTGGTTTCGGTCCCATGGGTAAGAGCACAGTGTTTTCTTTGGCTAGTTAGACAGCTTCTTCGCTTCCTTCCATCTCTTTATTCTCAAAGTAATTTTGTTGTTTCCCCAAGGCCATTAAGCCAGTTACGCATTCCCAGACTAGTTTGGAGCTAAAAACATACACATGAAGTGCCATTATAGCTGACAGATTGACCTGCTAATGCCAATCCATGCACTTTTCATTTTCATATTCTTATATGGATTGTCTGGACTCTTCTTGGAAGATAGTTGTAACAGTCCAATGGCTTTTGCTAGGTTGTAGTCCCTTTCACCTTCACCGACTCACTGTTCCATCAATGTATCTTCTTTTTTTTCTCTTCACTATAGTATCCCTTTAGTGACATAGGGATACTAAAGCTCCCCATGTCATTAATTACAATACACTTACTAAAAGTTTTATAATTAATGAAAAACCATTCAAAACTGAACTAACACTTAAACAATTTACGATTCCTGAACAATAAGAATTTAATTTGTTTATATATAAAATCAATTTCAACAAACTGATTGATGTAAAACAAGTTGAAGTTTAAGTTTATTTATTAAAACTTTCAAAGACTGCAATATTTTACAAATCAAGTGGCTCAGTTGTAGCTGCCATGGATCTCTGTTGAAAAACCGTATTCTTCATAAGTTGGGGATGTGTTGATCGTGCAGTGGATAATCGAATATCAAATGCTCCTAGGTGTTGATGATCTGAGGGTGGTCTCATGGCATGTGCAGTTGCCATCTTCTTCTAAATGTAATCTGTATAGATATGCTTTATGCTTGCCATGGTTGCTTAAAGCCATTTTCATTTATCATGTGAAAGTTTAGTCTGCCTACAACTCACAGTGGGAAAGTTTTTTTGTGTGAATTCTTCGGTAGTATTATTTTTCAATAATGTACTAATAGCCATCTTCTTAAAACTTGGGGTTACCTATATTCTGATTTATCTATGACCAGTTTTTCTCTCATTTTGTCAAATGTCATTATAACCATCTTATTTTTTCTCCAGAATTTTATTTTGCTTCTCTTTATATCCGGTTTTATTTCCTTTTTTCTCACGAGCCTATTGTCAATCTCGAAAGCCTCCTTTTGAACGTAAATGTGAGGGTTGAAGATCGAGTGCAGTTTCTCTTTGTTGAGGAACAAATGTGAATAGCCCCTGTTATTTTAATTCACACTGGTCTGTAGACTTGGCAGTTTGTTTTGTGTCTCCTTATGCAGTGTTTTTCGCCACCATACTAGAACACTATATGTGAGACTCAGTGGGTGTTCGTGCACACTCCCTGTTAATTAATTGGTGGACAACTTATGTTAAAATGTGTGGGTCCCCCCTAACAGACAAGCAGTTGTGATGGCAATAAATGTGTAGTCTTTTAGCTTCAAACAATTCTTGGAATATCAAAATTGTCCTAGAAAAACACATCTACCTTAGTGTGGGTTCCATCACATGAAAGTATAGAAGGAAAAACAACCTCATGATCTACTATCCAAAGAAGGGGCAGCCCTTCATCCCATAATCACACTATGCACATTGGGGAACCTTTGGAAGAAGGTTGGAGCTGAAAAAATGGCTAAAGACAAAAGAGTCAATGATTTGACAAAAACATGAGGCAAGCTATGAAGATCATGAATAAAAAACAAAACAAAGGAACTACTCTCTCTCAGCAGGCTAGATTTAAGGAAAGTTATTAAGTTAAGTTGGCCTCAAATCTTTTGTAACAAAAAGAAGTGCGTGAAGGGACACCCGAGTAGTGTCGTGTAAATTTTGTGAGAAAGAGTATGATTTAATCATAGGAGTCCACAATAGACCATTACATCAAAAAAAGTCTAGCTCTTTGTCCTTGGTTGATTGATTTAAATATGAAATAGTTGTGTAGGTCTTCAATTGAAATTCTTCAACCGTTAATTAGTTTTTTATTTTGATGCATTTTGTGGTTCAGCGAAAATGCTGTTCCATAACTGAAATCCATGGCCAAAAATAAACTAATATAATGGTAGAAGAATTAAATACCTAACTATATTAAAAAAAAAACACAAAACATATTGCTTATTATCTATTAACTTCTGTAATGGTGATATTTAGTGATGTGTCTAATATCCATTAGGGACAAAAATTCACCGTCAACTTACATGTTATGTTTCGTTCATTTTTTAATATGGGTTAGATTATATAGTTGTTTGATATTTGGTGTATGTCTATTCATACAGTTTATACATTACATGCATTATCAAGTTTATACTTAATAATTTCGAAATTAACACACATACTCAAATTAAGTGTCAGTTGACAACAATTTTAGCATAGTTTATTCATAGAGATATTTAAGGTGGAGTGAGTCTCAATTCACTGGTTGTAAACGATAGTTCTACTTAAAAAAAGTTTTTGTTTATTCATTTTGATATATTTGATCCTTTAAACATGTAAAGTAATTCCCTTATCATCACTTAACGCCCAACCACCATTTGGGTGTTGAGGATGAGGGGTAAAACTATTTTACCCCACACTTTTGATACCATTATTAATTAAAAAGTCATGGGATTTTGAACTGGATTTGAACCCAGAACTGCTAATAGCATGCCAATTACTATATTCAATATTTTGTGCCTGTCAGAAACTACAAGTTCATCAGCCCCCATACCTCAAGAGATAATACAATTTAAAAAAAAAGTATATTTTTTATTTCAGAGGGAGAAACTTCCTGAGTATTCATCGGATGAGAGTGACGGAGAAGATCTGCCACAAGTGGTAGTTTTGAACCCTGGTGATTTGACTGCAGAAGAAGCTGCCGTTGTTAAGAAAGGTAGGTTGAAATATTTTTATGTTGAACATGCCCAATTAAAACCTTTACAAACAAACCACATTGGAAATTATATTAGTAGTAGTATATTAATTAGAATATTTACCACTAAATTAATAATTAAATTATATGATAAATCACTTCTCATGTTAATTAAATTTTGTTCCTTTTGGAAAATACGATTATTTTTAAGTTTCTAGTTCCTATTAATTTTTTTTTGTAAATTTTAAATAAATCTTGTAATATTAAGGCATTATCTGCTAATATAAACAATATCATCCATATATGTTAGCATGTTGGTATTTTTACCATATTATGTAGGCACTTTGTTAGATCATTAATAAATATCTTAAATAGGTGAAATTGGCAGAATGTGTCATTAGACGACAAACATAAAAAAGTAGAAAGTAAACATAGTTACTATTTCATTGTATTATTTCTTATTATTCCAATTATTTCTTTCAAAAATTATCTAACTTTAATAAACTAAAAATAAAAAATTCCACACCTTTTGAAATTGACCTAAGGGTGTTCTTCAATATTTGTAACATATGTTTTTTTATTATAGGATTTAAAGTTGAAGGTTTATTTTGAGTAAATTTTGTAATATTAAGGCATTATCCACTTAGATAACAATATCATCCATACATGATAGAATATTGATATTTGCACCATACATTTTTTAATCACGCCTAACACTTTGTGAGATCATTAATAAATAATTGAATAGGTGAAATTGGCATTGTCTTTAGACTTAGAAGATAAAGAAAGTAAACATAGTTAAACTATTTTATTATTTCTTATTATTCCAATTATTTCTTTCAAGGTTTAGCTCTTTTATTAAACTAAAAAAAAAAAATCCTACACCTTTTGAAGTTAGCCTAAGGGTGTTTCATCGATATTTGTAATGCATATTTATTTCATAGGGTTTAAAGTTTGAGGCTTATTAAGTTATTAATATTAAGGCACTTTTTTATTATTTTTTTTTTTTAATTTATTTTATTTTTTTTTATTTTATTTTTTAGGGATGGTTAGGGTTTAAAAAAAATTAAAAGGGTGGATGGGTATCAGTTGTAGAGAGCCACCCTGGATGTAGAGGCCGCTGGAGCTGGTGAATTGCCATGGCTGACTTCATACCATTTGAATAATGGCATAGGCGAATTGGTAAATAAAGGATCAAAAACGTGCATAAACACATTTCCAAAAAAATTTCAAATTTAAAGTAGCTCAAAATTTTTTAAAAATAAAAAAGAAGAGGGTCAAATTTCTCCTTTGGGGCCAAAATTTGGAGTCAGGACGTTTATGAGGAGAGGAGGCCCTTTTTCCCCCTGATGTCACGATATCTGTATCCATCTCGGTTTCCGGGAGGCAGTCGGGCGAGCCCATGTTCTGCAGCGGCGGTCGTGGTGGTGGCCCTTCCCCGGCGCCGTTCACGTCCCCCTGCAGCGGCGTGAATCGGCTCGCCCAACTTTCCATCTGAAGCCGCCATCTTCGCCTTTTTACAAACTAACGCCGTAATTTTCGTCAAATTGGTACCTGACTGAAACGGCCAGAGGGTGGGGCCGTTGGCATGGTGGGGTGAAGGGTGCCAAGGGGAGGCCATCGCCGGAACCATTCCAGCTTCTACTCTAGGGCGGAAAATTTAGAGGAAAAACTTTTCTCCAGTTGTTTAAATAATTTTCCATACGATCCTTTAATCTGCCAATGGGAGGGGGCATCGCAGTCGTGTCAATTGACAACCGACAATTTGCCGATAATGGACTTGAAACTTACAAAACCGTTGTCCATTTATTATAATCACAAAACCAACCAAATTATACTTAGGTGGAAAAAATTCTAATTCCAACGAATACACTTCTTGTGACTATCAACTATAGATTTATGGTCTCCTTTTTATTTAGACCATTCTCCTTCATCTGCCATTACTGATAATTGTTATTGTAGGTTTCATTTATTAAGGGCACTTTAGTAATTTTTTTGGAATTATCTGTAAAATGTAGCCTTCTGCAAGAAAATCACCCACATGGTGTATTGTCACCTTTCTTACTCTGTTTTTAAATTTTCTATTTATATATTACAAAGTTGTTTCATTTTCAACATAAAATTGTTAACACTGTCATATTAAAAAAAATTTAATAACGTAATTATCAAATATTTAATTAAATTATAAAAATATTAGTATTAATTATTATGATTTAGTAAATTACGTTTCGACTATATTATTAAAAAAACACATTTTTTTAAATAATATAGTTGGAAATTTTGTCTTCCATAAACCAACAAATTTAAATATTAATTTTTTTAAATTTGAATAAGTTAAAAAAATCCGTTACATAGTAAAAAGTATTTTTTTAAATGTTTGAGTGTCTTACAAATAGAAAAACTATTTTTTAGGTAGGTTTAACATCAGAAATGACCACGAAAAAAAGAGTATTTTTATAATATAAATTTATTCTTCTTTTTCTTCATTTTGTTATTCTTTTTTCTTTTTATGAATGGTTTGATTTTTCTGTTTTGTAGGCCTTTAGTTTGAAAAGGTTTAAAAAAAAATATATATAATATATTATACTAACATACTACTATATATATATAATGTATATATATAATATGTGTATATGTATTTATTTATTTTTAAAGTAGGTTCGAAACAGTGTAAAAATTGTTCCATTAAAAACAAATTCTGCACAATTTTTTAAATTTTACCGTATTATTTGTAATATACGTAATACTGTAACACAACACAATATTATACAATTAATTAAGGTTTTTAGTTGAGATAAATAAGTAAGAGATTAATTAGTCAAGCGGACCACGAAATTAGTGAACAACACAATATATTTAATGCTTCATAAAAATAACATTTAATTAGGAAAATAAATGAAGTATTTAAAAAAAAGGAAAGTTAAAACATTTTCCGATATAAATGGTATATATTTATAAAATGGCACAGGATACATACGTCGTACAACTCAAAAAAAATTTTAACACCTTAAATTGAAATGCCTCCGAACAGAAAAATACATGTAAATTTATCATTGTACATAAAAAAATCAGGGATCAATGCGAATTTGAAAGAAAAAACTCAGTTTGTTCGTCAAGTTGTACCCCTTGATAAAGACTGAAACTATTTATAATTTCTAAATACCCGGTTAACGAATCTAAACATTTATTTACAAGCGTTCAAAATTATGACTTCCACTATAATGAATTTATAAGTTTTAGCTTATAAGCTTTTAGTTTATAAGAGAGGACGAGATCTAATACCCGTCCATTCTGCTTTAATTGTGATGTATAACTCAAAAATTTGAAATAGTATCAAAGCTTTTCTGTCTTTCAAATTGACCTAAACCCTGATTTGTTTATATACTATTATAATATTAAGGTTGAAATGAATCACATCAATATAAATTTAATCCAACGCCACAAAAATGTAATCATTTGTTTAGTATTTATTTCCCCAGTGGTAGTGTTGTTTTTCCTCTTATGGTCGGGGGGGGGGGGGCATGAACCTGCAGTTAGGAGTTTTTACATCATTTTTGTCTGCCTAACCTTGCTATTTTGACCTATCAAACTTCAGTCAAAAATGACAGCACTTTGCGTTTTGGTATTTTTTTAAATAAAAAAAACCTTACGGTACTTAGTAAATAATAGAAAATTAATTTTTGAATGAAGTTTGGGATTAACGACTGCGTTTTTAGAAGGGCTATTATTTACAATTATTCTGTCTATATGTTGGCGCAGATAAATATTGACAATTTATCTTAACCCGTAAACATAAACCACCAGAACCTAATACATAGAAGAGTTTTAAACTATTTTATTTACAACTGTTTTTATTTGTTTTGTTTAACAAAACTGGTTATTTGGAAATTTATCTTTTTCTTTTACTTCATTTATAATTTTAGACTTTGACTGAAATTTTAATGATGTTGCATGGTTTTAAGTTTTAAACTTGGTCCATTTATAATAATGTAAAAATTGAACTGACTGATAACACGTTAGAAAAAAAATCATTAACTAAGAATTAACATCTTAACATATCTCTTATCAGTTATCACTGATTTTTTTCTAACTAGTTGATATAAGAACTGAGCTTGCGTTTTACACCAAATCTCATGTGGCCAATAAGATTTTTATAAACTCGTCTGGGAATGAATTTTGAGAAAAACCTTCTTTTAAGTTTTATCGAATTAGATGGAAATTTTTATTTCCTTGTAGTTCAAAGAAATCATCAAACCAAATTTCACCGTAATCGATTAAATCGATACCCCATTCAATAAAACCTTTATGAATTAAAATTTCATTTGTTATAACGACGTCCATACACTTGTCATGTCGATCTTCAACCGTAGGTTGAAAATACTATTTTAATTAATAATTGAAAATGTTTGTCATATTCAAATCTTTTTTATGTCATGCTAGAAGTTATTTAGAAGAAGAAAACGTAAAGCTTTTTCCTTGATATAAATAATTAACGAAGAACTTTATTTTTAAATTGCCTTTAAAAAAAAGTTGTAGTGTATATTTTATCGTCCGTTGTTCGGAGACAGTTTGGGGAATGACCCATTGGGGATGTGCCAAATGAGCCCAAAACGTGCAAAATAAAGAAACGAAATGCCACGAAACGCTTGGATTTTCTTTTCTCCACCAATCATGTAAATAAAAATCGATAACCGTAGAACATAAATATGAATTTAAGAAAAGTTAAATTGTTTTTAAAGAAAAGTATAATTTTTCATCTGTAAATAGCACGATTTGTAAGTCACATATCATTATTTTTATTTTGCAATTTCCAATGGTTATTATGTTTTCTGTTAAACCTATTTGGCCCATTTATAATAATTACATAACCGGATGTACTGGGCATTTTTGTTTAGTTGAAAAACGAATATATACAAATCCTATCACAATTCCTCACAGAACTCGTTATGTCCAATATCGAGAATAAATAGACTCCTGATATTTATTATTTTTTAAAATATATTTTCCAACTCATTTGACAGTCTAATTAGGTGAACAACTAGCTTTTTGTAAATATCAATAATCGTTATCTCTTGTACCTTTACGAAAATAATTTTTTTCCAAAACATTAATGGAGAGACGGTGGTTTGCATGTTTTACTCTCTCATTTTTTTAATACAATTATTACATATGTACGTCGACGACCTCTGCTTTCTTCCTTTTGGTGAAAGACCTAGCGGAGGTCGGAGGGGTTTTGCAGCTGAGGTTGAAGAGCCGAGGAAACCGGATTCGCCTTCCCTGCGTCGAAAACCGTGTGCGTCCACTTTTGTAGACTGAGGATGGCCCTCGGCTTTCCTCTTATCTGCCTAGAAGCGGCGCGATAAGGTACGTAGAGTCGACGAGATTCCTCGGCCTCACATTTGATCAAAGTTAAGTTGAAGCCACTTTGACGCCGTCGAGGTGAAGGGATGAAAAGTTATAACGCTTTTATTGTTCGACGGTCACTTCAGGTGTGGAGCGGACATGTTTCCCATTGGGGTTCGCAATGTCTTAGACGATGAGATTCTTTAATGCGTACCTGGCTGGCACCTCACCACACGCTTAGTTTCTCAAGTTAAGAGCGACTCACCTCCGCTCACGGTAGATAGTGTGAACACTGTGAGGTTCGGTGTAGAAGCCACCACATCCTCAAACATCTTCCGAAACGCGCCTGCGGGGATCTATAGGCTCTACTATCAGGGTCTTCGAGCGGTCTCCGGCCCGTTAGCCCTTTGTACTGTGAGTGCTATCGTCCATGAGAGAGTAGCTTACACTCAGCTATGCGGCGGGGTTTGTTCCATGCCGGGACATCTGCATTGGATGCGATCCTTAGATGCTAGTAGAGCAGAATATACAAGAACCTTTAGACCGGGACGTGACCCCCGGGAATACGCTTCGGCGAAGCTTTAAGGAGGGGCGGTGATGACAGGGTATGTTACTCGACTTGGCGGACTACGGCCTGGGTACTCCCATAAACGGACGCTCGTATCTTCGTTGTTGATTTCAAACAATATGTATTTTTGTGGATATATTGACTGCAACATGTTTATTTTAATGTAAACCGAATTAAACGAGATCAAAAATTCATGAATTGTAATAAAAAAATATTTATTTATGATGATTTGACAGAAAATTTATCAAAACACGTGAATATCATTTAGTGATAGAATGAATTTAACTAGAGACGCCTATTTTCACATGAACCTTCCTGCGTATTTGTGTAACGTTAAAAAAATAAAAAAGGCAAACAAAATAGTTCGAATTACAATCAAGTAGAAAACTGGAGAAAAGGGATATAAGATTCAAAAGAATCTAACATTCGGCAAAGTCTGTGTTTGTTTATTAACAATTAATAGTCCGAATTAACAAAATTTGCCGAGGAAAAAAAGGTGGCCTTTTATATTACGACAGTTCACGGACCGTTGGAATTAAATGACACCACATCTATAATTAAATTGCTGGACTACACGCGGTGTAATAGTGGTAGAAATTTCACAAGTGTTGGACAAATTATTTTTGTATTTTCTCGATATATTTGCTTTTTACTTGATCCGTGTGATTCGAACGATATTTGAATAATTCGGTGTCCAGTTTCACTAAATAAATAAATACAACTTTCCCAAACCTGGTTTTCGATGTCGTTTTTTCCTCTAATTTAAATCCGTCCATTTCACAAAAATGTCAAAATGTCTGAAATTTGTATTTGGTTTTGAACATCGATATCCTCCATAATAGGTCCAATAACCTCTAAAACATCTTGCCCTTTTAATTTCTGAACTCGGTGCATTATTGCTTCTCCATCGTTAAATATGTATATTAAATTGGGAGTGCTTTTAACACTTATAAGACTTGCAGCTGTGAGATTAGTTGCACCTTGAATCCGAATGGAATAAGGACTTCCTTTTATTGCTGCATTTTAAGCATTGAATGACACAAAAGCGACTAAATTATTATAAATTCGAATATTTTCCCTAAAATATTTGTTTATGTCTTTGGATCCTTATAAAAAGTTTTTAATTCATCAACATTAACAACAAACCCCTATGGCAACA